CTTTAACATGATACAAACCTGAGTGCATTGTATACTCATATATTTAAATATTCTGAACAGAACTTGCAATAAGTGAACATTACAGCAACTCAGAGGTGAAAAGGACACATTTTGTGCTCTCCAAACCCAAATCCAGAACTGCTGCCACACATGCATCAGGCTGATATGCTTACACACACATCACAGGGTCTTAATTCTGCCTCATGTCACCTTTTGTCTCAGAGAAATGCTTGCACATCATTTCCTTTTCCTGAAAGTCTTTACACAGTAAAAAAAAAAAAAAGTACCTTATTGGAATTTCATATCCCCTGTATCTAACTCTCTCTCCATCTTTTTATCCATCTATTGGCTTTGACCAAATTTAGAAAGCAGTGAGGGCTGACTGTTGTGCATGTGAATAGCTCAGTGTCTCACAATCATGCTACAAATCCTCACTGTGCCTCTGGAGATAGCTTAAGCTGTACAAGTAACAAAGGCAAACTCCACATCAACAACATTACTGTCAGTTTTTTAGAAAACAAACTCAGCTCCTCACCCTGCTCCCACCTGAGAGGTAGTATGAAACTATGTATGCGTCATCTGTATGCATGCATGTAAAAATGAGTATATTTGTGTGTTGTTATAGGAGTATATGGATTCTGTGTATGTAGGCCTGTGTGTGTGTGTGTGTGTGTGTGTGTGTGTTTATAGACAGTGTGTAAAATTCTTTAATGCGTCTTATAACCATAGGGCCTGCATGCAGTTTAGGATCTGTGAATTCAATATCACTATAATATCGGGCCCTGTGGCTCAGGCGAGGTCTCTGCTCACTGCACACACTTCTGCCACACCAGACACCACATGCACAGTGCATAATCCGAGCAATCCGTCATACGTATGCACACACAATTGCACACATACATGTGTATCCAAGCAATGCCTCTTGATGCTTTTTTTAATCCACTTTCACCATGGAAACCCATCTTTAGAAGGAGCATGGAGACATGGTGTGTTTTGTGTGTGTCTCTCTCTGATCCATGTTCAAAAGATGACTGTCAGAGACAATGGAAAGGTAGCACAGTATATAGGCCAGAGAAGTAGACTAACTGCACAAATGCATTCATTTTTCTTGCAGCAAATGCAATGGGAATTTTACCTCCAAACAAAATAGTTAAGGCTTCACAGTTTTACAAAAGGTTTTGAAAAACATATAAATCCTGTCAATCATACTAATTAATCTAATCAAGGTAAAGGAGGGGCAAACATCATGTAAATGTAAGCAGGGTGAAAGCATAAAGATCAACAAGAATAAATCGTATGGGTGCAGTAAACAGTGAAGTGCTTTATATTTGTTATATACTGATGCATCTCATTAAGAGCTTTCAAATTTATTATGAATTGTTGCTATTTGTAATACAAGCTTCAAATGCTGAGGGTTGCATGGGTAATTAAATTTCAATCAATTACTGAATTATGGTTTCTGCATAACAACAGTGTAATTATGAATAACTTTTCATGTATGGTTTACCTTTAGTGAGTACTGCTGACACAACAGCACAACACATAGGTCTTCATGGTAATGGGGACTGGATGATAGGCAATCTCTCGTATTCTCCCACATACAAACTGAGTTATAATACAGTATGTCTGAGATTAAATACCTTAACAACCGTTTAAAACATTCCAATCGGGCAGATTTGCATGACTTTAAGATTAGTTTTGAGCTAAATCAACATGTATGCTCACAATATTAATGCTAACATAGTGATATTTACCAGGCATAATGCTGACCATGTTCCATCTTAATGTACTGTATTAGCATGCTAATATTTGTATGGCTGCCCCCTAATAGTTGAATAGTCAAGTCATTAGTCGAGAGACCTGTCAGTCAACTGAGACTCTTCTAGTTGAGCCTTTGTTTTTATTTTATTATATTTTACTTTATGTCAGCAAGTGTGCATAACAACAGAAGGTAGCACCAACTGGTAGTTTGTCATCTTCTTCTCCTCATATTGGTGTTTCATGCAGCAATGTGCTCTATACTTCCCCCTGTGGTGATGGTGGGGTGGGGTGGGGGGGATTCCCACTTCAGTGGTTACACTGTCCAATGCATGGATGTACATTAAGGTCAGATCTGTTTAGCAAATTGTAGAATGTGGAAAAAAGGACAACAAAACCCACTAGAACAAGCCATATAGAGGTGAGATTTGTACTTTATTAGAAGTGTTTTCAAACATCTACTCTTTTTAATTGCTCATAAATATGCTCCTGCCTTTTACATTTAAATACCGATATTAATGTGGTGGAAATTGTCACTGAGATTCACACCAGTTGATTTTTTTTTTAAAACAGAATGAATAGTCACACTGAAGAGAGGACTGACATTTGACTGACAAAATCCTTAGTCGGGTTACAACCCTAAGTATTTGCTTATTAGCACTAATGACATAGGATGGCTGAGGCCTCTTAAAGGCAATATTAATAATAAATTTCATGTCTGTCCATCCAAAACATGCGGAGACATTTCACTTGAAACCATAAATGTTAACCTCATGTTGGTGCTAGACAAAAAGTCAGGGCGTCCCCAAACTCATTGGCAGTCACCATGTGTGGAACCATTTGTGTCTGTATCAGATTGGGTGGCGCTCCAGACAGTAGTTGTTGAGATATGTCTGTCTGGATCCAAGTGGTGGACTGACCAGCCAACAGGCAGACATTAAACTAATCAGTCAATCAAAAATGGTTTATAAGCACATTTAAAAGCAACAAGAGTTGACCAAAGAGCTGCACGACTAAAAGGCAGGTGAGCTCAACAACACTTAAGACTGCCTGACAAATAATTTTAAAACAACAAGGTAAGAGTAAAAATAAAGGCACAAGAAGGTCGGTCTTAGAAGACAACAGAATAACACTCCACACGTGTATCTGTCAGTATATGACACGCTGAAGCACACAGGTCGCTCTTTATCTCAAAACAGTTCTGTCACTGTCACTACCCTCTCCACCGCATGTCCGACAGCTCATGTTCTTTAATGTGTTGTTTTGCTGTCAAACATCCTTGATGTTTATGAGGCTGAGATGGTCTCCTGCGTCATGCTGAGTGTGTCATCATGAATTCAGAAACTCGTCTCTAAGAAGCAGCTAAATATGGAGACAGCAGGAGT